AGTAGTCCAGAGTCCAGATACAGAGATTGATTTCCTTGATTTTGCTCTTTGTTATTCTCGTGTAATCCATGGCCGGCAGGGTTTTATCTTTAATGTGAATGTGGCTCCATTGGGTTTGTCTATGCTCCTCTTTCCTTAAACCAATCAAATTCATATGGAATTTTTTTGTCGAGGCGTGAATGGCGCTTTTGAGGTGGGACTGGAAATGACTTCATTGCTTTCCTTCCTTGCTAACTGACTATTGAAATTTCGAAGTCCATTTCTTTGTCTTCTTCACAAGTATTTTGTTTTCAGTTTCACACTAAGGTGTCACTATACTACTTCATAGGAAGATACATAGTTAAAACTTAAAAGTTTGGATTTGAAAATTAGAAATTTTAAGTTTGGATTTGAAAATTGAAAGTTTTGGCTATTGAATTTGGAAAGGAAAATTTTGATAAAATTCTTGAATTTGAAAAAGAAAATAAAGATTTACAATGGACTTGGGTTATGATGAATTTTAAAATTTGTTTGGTGGATTTGATGCTGTATTTTATTATACTGGACTTATGATTATAGTATTTAAAACACCTTGTTTACCCCAAAAGTCGTTTTAGTTCAATATATAAGCATTTACTTATTAGCTGTCCTTCATTTCTCATCTAGGTCTATTTCTCAAACCTTCAATGAATGCTCCATCTCCCAAAATCAATCTTCTAAGAAAATCAATTTTGTAGGCTGAGTGAATTGGGTCTCCATGAAAATTAAAACCAAGAGAAAGCAACCATCAGTTGGTTAGTTAAACCCCCAACCTATAAAGGAAATCGAATATTGAATCAACGGGTAAGATTGTTATTAATTTGTGCACGGGTCGAGTTTTAAATATCTAAAGTCAAAGCGCATTTACTCTAACCCTAACAACGACAAGTATACCGATGCTAGACTTCTTGTAAAGTGCCCGGTAGTATTCTAAAAGAACCTTAGGCTTACTACTACTTCGCTCCAAACTACTATCTAATCAAATAGGAAGGTGGGGGTAGAACTAACCTAACCTAACTAACTAAACAATCAATCAAGTGGTTGGAAGACCGCCGGAGATGAGATGATTGTCTCTCATCGAATCCCTCTAGGCTCTAGCTGTAGGTTGATGTGGGTGATCACAAGCCGATGGGGATCGACTCAATGGTCATGCAATCGATCCCCCTCCTAGCTAGGTTCAGCGACCCAATGTCACCTCAACCGGTCTACTTAACTAAGATGGTTCTACCTCCTCTAAACTAATTATATCCGTCCGTACACAAGCCGATGGTCACGCACTTCCCCAACAAACATCAACTAAGTGAGAATCTAACTAAAAGGAGATGATCACGGCAATCTCTAGTTAGATCTCTTGGCCAACCATTCAATGTAAGAAGCATTCACACAAATCTAAACCCTAATTGGAAGCATTATGCACTCTAGTTAAACCCAGTTATACCATAAATTCATAAATAAGACAATGATAATTCCCCTATTATCTAGCTTGCAACTAAGGTAAATGAGATATAGACAATCTCACACAAATTGATATTTGTAGTAATCTTGATCTAAAGGGATGAAATTCTCACCTAGATTAAGAACAAATCAATCGCTATCAAGCAAAAGATTCTTATGTACAAACATCAACAGAATAGATAAATAGGTTCATAATTGTTGTTACTCTTCCCTATCGTATTTGTTTTCCTTCCTCCCCTCCATCTGGGTCTTCATTGATTTTGGTGTTTTGATGTTGTACAGTTAGAGTGAAAAAAAGGAGAGAGACGGAGAGGTAGAAAATGAATGAAAACCATTTTGTATTCTAGTTCGGATTGATCGAATCGAATTTGGTTCGAATTCGGTTTGGGGTCTAGAGCATATAGGGACCCGATGCACACCTCTTATGGGCATGGCCTGGCCTTGACAGGCCAAAACAACGCTGAATCACCCGAACTTCGAGTCTTGTCATCATTCCAGTGTCGAGATCATGGCCTCCATCATGGGATCACGGTCGCGATCTTTTTCGCGGTCGAAAATCCCCTTGGCCTCCAGTCGGATGTCGAGAGTTTCTACCCTCTCATTGGCTGAGTGCTGAAGTTTGCGGCTATGTTCACGGCCGCGGACATGATCACGCGCTGGTCAAGGTCGTGATGTGATCGTGACCTATGCTATTTCTACCATTCTTACTCCTATGCAATGCAAACATGTCTGGATGAACTCCAAATTGATTCCCGTGGTGCATTATAACACCAGATGACCAGAATCATTATTATTATTCTCCTTATTTGTATAAGTTATTATTATTAAAAGATGTATTAATTAACGCCCTAATTGAGGTATGTTTTAGAGTGGGTTGGGATTAGACGTAGTTGGCCGCAATTGCTTGGCCGAGTACTATTAGGTTTTCCTACATTTTCCTATAAATATGTACTTTGTGGTTCAGTTATGATGATGAGAAGAAGTATATTTCAGTTATTGTTATGTTTTAGGTGTATAAGTAGCGTACGTGTTCGTTCTCTCGTCGCATTAGAAACTATAATGCGTCATCCCGATCGATTGTAAATGAATATAAGACCTGGAATTTCATCACTAAAACCAAGAAATCATAAAATACGACAAAGTAAGGTCGATTTTCTCACGAAAACCTTCATATCAAACCAACTCATGCCAAAATGGATGTTTAGGTTGATGAAAGATGATGAAGGAACTATATCAGATATAGTGGCCACCTGAGGCAAGGGTTTGAGTCCAAAGGGACATTGGAGATCGTTCAACTCACTTTCATTTTGATAATGCATGGGCTAGAACGAGTGGGGGTTGAACTTACTAATGATGCCACTAATCAGATGACTACGAGAACGTGGCATCAGAATACAGTGTCTAACATGCAAGAACTATGATAAAGTTCAAAACTTTAAATTCATCACTTTTTTTCACCGCACAATACACAATTCAACAAGGCGGCGTTTCTGTTCCATATATGATCTAAGAGCTTTTGCCTTCCCATTGACCTAGCCGGAAGGAAAGAAATCCATTTTGATTCTGAAACAAATTTAATGAGCTGAGTCGAGTTTTGTCATGTTCAGATTTGGCTTGTTAATAAACGCGTAGAGCTCGAGTTTGGCTCATTTATAAATGAGTTGAGTTGAGTCGAGTCGAACTCGAGCTAGCTCATTTATTAGATAAAACCTACGTAACTCGTCATTAAGATAAGGAGTTCGGCTCGACCTCAATTCTATGATAATTTATAAATTAAAACCTAATGTTTATATGTCATATACGATATATGTGATTAACTGATTTCATGTCATATATGACATATATTTGTTCACATACTCAAATTCTTAAACATGTGAGATAAAGAATTTAATAAACCTATGAATTATCAACAAGCCAACTCATAAGATGTAGATCGATCTTATCATAAGCAAGTAATCGAGTTGCTCACTAATCTCAACTAAGAGGTGCTAATCGGTTCGGTATCGACTAGCCACTAACCGATATGGCGGTTAACGGTTAACCAATAAGCATAAAACTCATACCGATAACCGAATTGATAAGCCTTAACGGTTAACCTTCTCTTATCAGTTCGGTTAGCCGTTAGTTTGGCGCTTAACCAATAGCGAGTTACATACGTTCCAATAAGTATGAATATACATAATCAAACCAAATATAAAACTAATAACTTTATTTTCTTTCATGAAATATAATAAAGTGAAGCAATAATCACCTGTAATACACAAATCATCATCCAATTAAGTTTAACATGTGTCATTTAATCCTAACCACTTGTAAAACAATTTAATCCTAAAACAATTTAACACAAAATACTATTGATAAGAAATAACATCGATACATATCCATCGTGAATTCATAATCCAAATTCCAATACATAAAATTAAAATTCAAACATCTTCATCTAATTAGTGGATACCAACTACCAAGACAAGACATCAAACACAAGAACTCCAAGATAATCTTCATCCACTAACATCAAAGAAACAAAGACTACTAGGGTGCGATGTTCGCTCCGTCGATTGCAAAGGGGTGTAAGAGAGGATGACTTTTGAGTTCTAAATCTTAAACACATTTAAGACAGTGGAGGGTTGTTTGCAATAAGTATAAATTGGGATGTCTGGAATTGCACTTTGGTTGGTTTTGAACCTTTGAACTTTTTTCCTTAGCCAAAGACCAAAAATATATGGTTATACTAGTAGGCGGTTATCGGTTAAGCACTAATCAATTAGTCGGTTAACCACTAAACAAAATATAGCTAACCGAAACCAAACCACTAAAAATTACCGCTTATAGGTTAACCATTAACCGTTATTGGTCGGTTATCGCCTTATCGGTTAAAACCGATAACCGGCTAACCATTTACCACCTATAATCTCAACATTGAGACATTTCATGAGCTCAAAACAAGAGAGTTCACAAGTTGAGCTCAACAAGCCACTTAGTCGAGCTGTCTCACGAGCTGAACAAGATTTAACTCAAACTCAACTAGTTAATAGACAAATTAAGATATTTTTAATCGAACGAATTTTTATCGAGCGATGGCTCGACTCAATTAATTTATACACAATCCATCACTTCGATTCATTTCAATTGAAGCCATTCTTGGGCTGGCTCCTCGAGGAGTCGGGAGATGGAGGTTGCAGGCATGTCTATCGAACGACAAATGAGGCGACACACATAATGGCACATCTGAAAACAAAATGGAACGAGACCGATATTTGGTTTGATAGACCCCCTATGAGTGTAATGGACCAGCTGAAGCTGGATTCTGTAATGGCTTCACAATCGTAATTAAGCCTAGCGCAGATTTCTGTAAAAAAAAAAAAAAAAGAAGCAAAGCCATTCTTGGGCTGTGGCATGAAGGCCTGGAAAAAAGTTGGACGAAAAGCAAGCCCAATTCATGAAACCATGCTCTCCCGACCCGGCCCGAACACGCCACCCGTTAGGCCTAAGCGGCAATCGCCCTGTCTCTGTTTCTCCCTCGCGAACTCAAACTCCTGGCAAGTGGAGAGCACATGTGAAAATGGAAAAGAAAGGAGGGAAATCAAAAAAACCTAAAACCCTAATAAACATATTTGCCCACTCCACTGTCCACTCCCACACTCCTCTCAGTTCCTAAAACCCTTCTTCCTACTTTTGCTGCATGGAGCATTAGACTACTTCCCCCCAACTTCTTCCCCTTTTCTTCCACCCTACAGAGCTACTCTGCGAGCCATTCCCATGGCGAGGCTTCTTCTCCGGAACACTCTGTCCCTGAAGACGTTTCTCGCACCGGAGGTAAGCTTCCGGAACACTCTGTCCCCACGATTCATCTGGGTTTCCGCTTCCGGTAGCCCTATTTGGTTTACACTCTCTGTAGTTGCTCTCGAAGTCCTTTCCGCTACTGTTTGCTCCGATCAGTTTCTGAGTTTGTATTTGTCCACAGATGAACAGTTTTGAAGGGGTTCTTTGTTTCACTTGTGTCGTTTCAGCGTCACCATTCATATATTCCACTTTGTCTTTGCAGGGCTTGAGGAGAGGGATATTGGGAACATCATCTCAAGTTTGCAACTTTGCAACAAAAGGTTCTCCAAAATTTTGTTTGTCGTTTGGTCTGGCTGATTTGATAGGAAGAGTCTCTTGTTCCATTAAGTGGGTGATGTTAACCGTTGGAGGGTTTTGAGCTGTTGAAAAAGCTTAGGATTTGCTGCCCCTAAGGCTTCAGTTGTCTGTGTTTATTTGGTGAAGTAAAAGTTTGTGAGATGGAGAATCAATTGATTGTGTTGCATAGTTTTGTTCTGGCTAGCTCCAGCGAGTTTTAAGCGAGTTCTAGGGCTTGTCATTTTGGGTTTGGTTTCAGCCCTCGTTCTATTGAGTTAGGCTAACCATGCTGTAGGTGTGTGTTCTGTTCATTCTTTCTGGTTGTGATAGACCCAGACTTGCTCTATTTGAAGGTAGGAGAAAATCAAAGTCCGATGGAAGTGAGTCTAGTGAGGATGACTCTTCAAAGAGAGAGGTAGCACTACAGCAAGCTCTTGATCAGATAACTAGCACGTTTGGGAAAGGATCTATTATGTGGTTTGGGCGGGCGGTTGCTCCAAGAGATGTGCCTGTTATCTCGACAGGTTCTCTTCTTCTTGATGTAGCTCTCGGCACTGGGGGATTCCCAAAGGTACGCTGAAGATTTTGAGTGAAGACATCCACAACTTAGTGCATTCAAATGCTTTGCACAACTTCTCAATGGTTGCCACTAGGGTATTTTTGTAGTTGGTCCTGTGTGAGCGTTGTCTGGCAAGGTGGACATATGTAGTTGTAGCGTTGACTGGTGATGTGCTTATTTTGCATGGTGGGAGTGCCTATAATCATTATTTATATTCGTTTCTGCAGTCCATTTCGCTTCTTGCCAACCACTGATTCTGGTGAATTCGGAATTAGTATTTATCTCTGATTTCAAAGTGACTATGAGTTGCATCATCACTTGTGGTTTCGTATCTAACGGCTTAACTTTATTTCTGTTTTGGTTAAATTAAACCATCAATGGTTCTCTATATGACTTCATTGATTGAATTTTTGCAGGGACGCGTGGTGGAGATTTATGGCCCTGAGGCTTCTGGGAAAACCACACTTGCTCTACATGTAATCGCTGAAGCACAGAAGCTAGGAGGTTGGCCTATATGTCACTCTAATCGTTTTTCTTATGTAAATAGGAAATTTGCCAGATTTTCAGTGTTAGGATGGTGGGACACTTAATCGGAATAGACACTACTCATCTTGTCTGCAACAATTACTAAATATAACAATGAAAAAGAGTTTGGATATGTTTCTCTGGCTATTCTTTTGCTCTTGCAGCAACAGAATGATTTTTTTGCCTGCACTATGCTTTCCAGTTTTAGGAGTACGCAGGACTTGGTAGCTAGTAACTAGTAGGTAGTGTACTACCATATATTGTTGTTAAGCGTCTTATAACTTGTACCCATTTACGTATCTGTTTCTGCCTTCTTATCTAGGAGGAAAAAACTAGTGTAGCTCTTTAACTTGTGCATTCATTTGCAGAATACTGTGTTTTCGTTGATGCGGAGCATGCTCTTGATTCATCGTTGGCTGAGGCTATTGGAGTGAACACTGAGACCTTGCTACTTTCACAACCTGATTGTGGTGAACAAGCTCTCAGCCTCGTGGATACCATAATTCGTAGTGGTTCTGTTGGGGTGGTCGTTGTTGACAGTGTAAGTAAGGTGCCATGCCTTCTCATATTTTTGTGGATATGCAGCGGCTATTTCTTTCTCTGCTTGTTGAAGATGACTGGGATTGGTGATTTTGAGCACTATTGTTTTGTTTACCTTAGCCTCTCTCATCTGGCTTGCCGTACGATATTTTCTAGTTAATGATTTGTCTTTTTATTTTCTGGATCTATATTCTCCCCTTCTTAAGTGATTCTATTTGGATGGTTTGATACATTCCACTGCGCTTTGCACTGAAGGATGCTAGACGGAAACTTTTGATCAGCAAAGTCTGATAGCAATCAAAGCCAAATTTTTATTTAGGGCTAAGCCCTTTACTCTCTGTTTTGGATCGTTGGCAGGTTGCTGCCCTTGTTCCTCAAAGCGAACTTGATGGGGAGATGGGTGATGCTCATATGGCAGTGCAGGCTAGGTTGATGAGCCAAGCACTTCGGAAACTAAGCCATTCATTATCTCAGTCACAAACAGTTCTGATATTTATAAATCAGGTAAAGATGCTTGATTTGTATTTGCGGCAGTCTTGATTAACCTTTATGGTTCTACTTGTGATTATATTTTTTTATGTGTAAGAAAATGAAATGTCACAGGAGTTTGATTCTAGTCTGGACTGTTTTAAGTATAGACCATTTCCATCTCTGGAAATTATGACGAACTATTGTGCTCCCTCATGAGTATGGGTACAGAGCTAATTTCTGAAGGCTCCATGGTCTGATTGTAGAAGCAGAGAGTTATCTGATTGTTCCATTTGGACACTTGATATTATTTTTCTGAAGACCTTTTTAATGATAATCATATTTTTTTATTGCGTTTCCATGAGTATGCAGGTCAGATCAAAGATTGCTACCTTTGGAGGGTTTGGTGGGCCTAAAGATGTAACTTGTGGAGGTAATGCCCTTAAGTTCTATGCTTCAGTGCGACTGAACATAAAAAGGATAGGGCTTGTCAAGAAGGCAGAAGAGGTAGGGATTTCATATCAATTGAATGAATCATATTGCATGTTTGATTATAACACGTCTGTGCTTTCCACCTTTTCTTCCTCCTGCTCTGGATGTTGAGGCTTTTATCACGATGAGCTTTATTCTAATTCCTGATCCTGAAATTTCATTCCTGTGAATGCTTGAGCAATTTCAATCTATGCTAGAGGTGGCCTGAAAAATACTTTAACAGGTCAAAGTTTTAGAACGGTGGTATGCAATTGTGGCTCCTTGACCTTTGAGAAACCACCTTATCCTAATCAAAATCTCTTTTGTTTTGCAGACTATTGGTAGTAGGGTTCAAATAAAGGTGGTCAAGAATAAGCTTTCTCCTCCATTTAAAACCATTGAATTCGATCTCGAGTTTGGCAAGGGTATATGCCAAGCATCAGAGATAATAGACTTGGCATTGAAACACAAGATATTGACAAAGTCGGGCGGTTTTTATACTTATGAGGATAAAAAATACCATGGTAGGGATGCCATGAAGGCACTTATAAACAACAATGAAGATGCACGTGAAGAAATGAAATTGAAGATCAAAGAGAAGCTAGCAGCCGGGCATACAGAGAAGGAAAAGGTAGCCGATGCCACCGCCACCGCCACGGACAGTGAACCGACTCAAGTCATTGCATCTGATTCTACCGACGACGAGGTAGCTGTTGTTGAAGCTTAAGTCGGGGTTTGGAACATGATATGGAAGTTAATTGGTGAAGTTTTATCTCTGCACATGGTTAGTTTTGGAAAAGCCACAAACTTCGGATGGAAAGTTCAGAAAGGTCATTGCTTTGAAGGATGAGATGTGACCTATTGGCCCATTAATGGTAAATCTTATGGTGTCTCGTCTCTTGACTAAATGTTTGGTGGAACTTGTTAGTGACTATCAGAGTAAGTGACCTCAGGAAGGAAATGGCTTCAGTGGGTCCTTGCCCTAGTTTTCCCTATGTTTCCCATTTCATGTTCATATCTGTCAATTGTCGAACCAAATGATTTTGTAAATGTGAATTGTGTTTGTATCTGACATTCAGCAGCCTGGAAGCATGCAATGTGAATGACGGAATACTTCATTGAGAAACTTGTAGTACATGAGAAGTGAGGAAGTTGGCAGGGTGATATAGATGGGAACATATGTATGGTTAACGTGAGGGACAAGAAACACTATGGAATTTTGACATGATTAGAGAACAATGTTGCATATTTGAGGAAGATGGTGTTGAAACACATTCCACCACCAGTGGCACTTTTTCAGTTCGTTATGCTGACCATATATTTCCTATCGAGCTCAAATGTTTCAAGTTTCAACTGGTCAGATCGGATTATGCTGATTAAATTAACCGAAAGATATGGAAGTGATACAGGAACTTATACCTATCACCAATAGCCACCTCCTTCCTCTGCCAGAATGCGAGGGATGCCTTTAGCCCTTTAGGGCTGGCTATTTGGTCCGGACTCTTTGGTTTTACCCGAAACCGGACCGGGACCGGACTGGGACCGAATAGCAAACAATCCAATATCATATTCGGGTTTAGATTTGAGGTAAAAAAATCCGGATAAGAGAACCCCAACACCTAAAATCAAGATCTAATAAGGACCGGACCGAGTCAAGATCGGACTGTATCCAATCCAATCTTTGGTCCTTATATTCTCGAAAAGACCAGACCGGGACCGGATCAATTTAACCGGACCGAACCGTATAGCCACCCTTAGATGCCTTGGCTAATAGCAACGGTCTCTAGAGAAAGTGCATAGGGTTCCTCCCCAAAGAGCCCCATTTGACAAAATGCATCTCAACCACCCACTGCTTGCGGGTCGGATAATTTGCAGATGGATCGATATTAACCTATGGGTTAACCACCCACGTGCCCAACCCTAGTGCTAGTATAGAGAATCATCGGCAGGTTTGGTCGAATTTGGAATGCGTCCGCAGATATCACAAGTGCAATCAGCAGCCGGCCACAGAACAACTCTGCTTGCGCCAAGGATTGGTGAACAAGTACAGGAAAAATTGAGGTCAAAAGACGAGCTTTTGGTGTGGGTTGATAATCTACAAGAAAGATTAACTACATCCATCTCTGAAGATAAGTTCCACTAGTACAAAATCATACAAACTGATCGAGAATCAGGACAACAAAATTCAGAGTAGTCAGCACCGACATTTCCTGCACTGTCTCCAAACACACAGCGGCAGGAAGAACAACTGTAACTCCCTAACTTCTTCCAGCAACGTCTCCTTCCAACACGAAACTAAGAGAACCACTGCTGACAAAATCTTTACCATTCTCGGGGCCAACACCGTGCAACAATAAACAGATAAGAAGACTATTCTTCGTCATTCTGGCCATCATCCTTGACAAGTTTGATCATGTCATCTATTCGAAGAATCGTTATGGCTGCTTCTGTGGCAAACTGGCAAAAGCAAGATATAACAAACCACAAAGGGTTTTAGTGTGGTTCCTTTGACATTTGATGAATAGGACCTTTAGAGTTTAGAGGACAATATTCTCATGTCCAAGAAAACAAATTTACCTGAATAATCTTCACTTTGCTCATTGCAGGTTCAATTACTCCAGCTTCTAAGTTGTTACGGACAGTACCTTTTGAAAGGTCTAGTCCCATGCTGCAATAGTTTGAAGGTGAATGTTAAAGGAGAAATTACTTGCGAGTTTAATTGAAACTACAGCAATCCATCTAGGAAACTCAAATCTGGTCTCATGTTGCAATAGGACGAGATATTTATATCAGAAAGGGTAAACCATATTGAGTCTAAGACATGACAAGTATTCAAGAGGATGTGGACAATAGAAAGGTAACACTAATCAAGAAGGCAGCTTACACATCTCCCAAATAAAGATAGTAGAAGTCAAAAGTTAACCAGAACCAGCAAGAATACCTGGAGAGATGCTTCTTGTCAGCTTTTGTTTGTGCATTGTGGTGGCAGGCTCTTAGCTTTGCAACCAACTCAGTTGCATCCTTAGCAGCATTGACAGCAAGCACCTGCACCATATATTCAACTCATTTACTCGTGACATAGATGTAAGGAGGCAGTAAACCCGGGATATAATTAATAAAAGCAGGAAAAAACCGCTTTCTACTGAACCTTTGGTATGATCAGTAAAGATTCAGCAAATTCAGCAATTGCCAACTGCTCTCGTGATCCGAGAGTCGTGGCAAGGTACTCCAGGTACACGGATAAGGCAGACTCAACAGCACCTCCACCTGCTACCACCTGTAAGCATAAAAAATAAGAAATTTTTTCCACCAGGCTTTGTACTATGCTATCCTTCCAATTTCAAGTGCCCTTGAGTTTACCGTGTTGGACTCCAAGGTCCTCTTCACTATGGATAAAGCGTCATGCAGAGATCTCTCCATCTCATCAAGCATATAGTCATTTGCTCCTCTAAGAATCAGGGAAACCTGGCATAACAGGTAGTACTAAATCAGAAACACTTCATAAAAAATGGCAGCACCAGTGAAGTATTCCAAGTAACAAGAGCCAACGCTTCTTCTAATTTCCAGAAACAAAATCAGGTTGCTATCAGAAACAGAGAAAGGGAAATAAACTCTTTATCATTATTCAGAAATGCATGATTCAGAATTCAGAAACTGATTTCCTCACCGCACTGGTGGTCTTTGTCCCTTTTATCATAACTACATCATCATCTGCAATACGCTCTTCAATAACTTCATCAGCATGCCCAATAAGTGAAGAATCAAAGGTCTCATCCCCTTCCATATCAGCAAACGTTCCCACCTGCAGGTAAACCAAATCAGAATGGGAGCATGAATTAACTCAAGACAGAAAAAACTTGGACAAGAAAACACAAGACTACATAAGAGTATCAGAAACTTGACTTCAATAATCAATTGCAAGCTGATTACAACTATGTATGGCTATTCAGAACATAAACATACAGTAAGCTGACGCATGGTATTACTAAGTCAATCCATCAAGGTTACAAGATAGTACCATGGTTGCACCAGTGGCCTTGGCAACATGGCGCATATCCTCTTTGCGGACACGCCTCACAGCAATAGCTCCAGCCTCGACGAAGTACTGGACAATAGTATAATGAATAAGATAATCAGATTCGCTTAATTAATGATATCATTCAAAAAAGAATAGACTGAGGATGTCTTTTAGATAATTTTAGGAAATTCCTAAAGTTTTAGCTCTAGGAGAAGGGAATAAAAGATTTTGTTTGGTGACGTTTACGAAAAGGAAAATTTGATTGGATATGAAATACTACTTAATAATAAATAACTGATGAGATAATATACATTAGCTCAATAAAATAGATAACTGGATCATTTCTAAAAAATAACTATTAATTCTAAACTTTGAATATACAACAGAGGGTCAAAGTTTGAAACGAAATTATCCAATGCCATCATTCAAAGACATAAAGCTACAAGATCATGAGGAATCTCCAGAACATTTTGTGAAACATATAACTACCTTTAGAGCCATGTCATCAATTCCTTTGGTAGTTAAAATCACGTTGGCTCCAGCTTTCAAAAGTTTCCCAATCCGCTCCTTGGTCATATCAGCTTCCCTGCAGATATTAACATCACATATTCTGCTTCAGTGACAATTGATGACAAAATCAGAAAGCAATGATCTACAGCAATGATCTTCACGTAAATGAATCTTGAATGATACTTGGAAAGATAGCCAACTGTGTGAAAAACGGAATTATTATAGTAGATCATCACAATTTTAGCCAGTCACTCACTGAATATAGCAGCTTAACTTCGAACTGAAAAGGAGACTAGAACGTGTCTATGGTACCTTTGACGAATTTTCTCAAGCTCCCTGGGATCAGTCACAACAACTTGTACACCCAATTGCATCTTTGTCTTCTGAAGATTGAAATCAAGACATGCAATTCTAGCAGGTGAAACTCTTGTAGGCATTCCTTGAGCAGCACGCCCAGTATTTAGAGCATACCCATTCAGCAGGTAACTATCTCTTGCACTTTTACCATGAGCTTTCAGAATGTTAATACCCTGGAAGATTTAATCGTGCATGTCAGCGGTAGTACCTCATCAGTGCAGCTACTCACAATATAGAAACCATAAGCCACACAAATAAAACATGAACCTGACTAAACAGCAAGCACGACTGAAAACCAAACAGTGCTGACCTTGATTGGATATCTGATTTCACCTCGTACATTTGTCATCTTTACTGATTGTACAGCATCAACAACCTATATAGGCATCAGGGTGTAAGTAATAGTCATCGGGTTTCTGTTTATTGAGTGACAGACACAACATTTGTACGTTATAAACTAACTGAAAAGAAGGAAATATACTCAAACTTCAAAGAGAAACACATACCAAATTTGCGAAGAAGTCACTGTCACCAGCAACCAATTTTGAGGACAAGCTGGTTTTTGCACAGTTCACCAAAGAATCCTTCCCAAGCTTTTCAACCTAGTTAAATCAGAAAAGGGTACAACCAATCACTATTCAAAAAAAGAGATAATAGATGGCAGTAAGACTATGGTAGGGAATCCATGATAATGACAACCAATAAGGTTAGTTGGTATTGAGTTTTCATTCCCACAATTCAGAATTCTCTTTGTTGAACACAGATAAAGCAAAAACAATTGGAAGTAGCATCCAAATAGGATATACACTGGTTACAAGACAATAAACATGTCCCAGAGCAGACATCGTTCTTTACTCAATGGCAGGGTACCAGATTGCAACTCACTTAGCCGACCTTGATCAGTTTCAACAAGCACAGGTCAAACACAATATATTCCAACAGCCTAATACAGCAGTATCTTACCTTCACGGCCAATTTTTCCTCAACATATTTGCAAGCCTCCCTCATTGCAAGCTGTCCACAATTAGAGAACCGTTCAATAGGAGTTTCTAATAAGGACAAATGAAAACATTTGGTAAAAGGTATAACAGGCAGCATGTCTAGAACATGAATATACGAGTGTACGACACCCATCCTGTAAGACACCAAACAAGACCTCAAACAAAAGAAGAGAAAAAGACAGCAGATACGAGATTTTGGAACAACTCACTCGGTATCCACTAATAATAGATGTTGGATGGATCTTGTTCCTCACTAAATCATTAGCTCTCTGGAAACAAAAACGGATTGTCAAAGCTCATCCATACCAACCCCATTGCCAGCACAAAATGATAATCAAAGTGATGCAAATTTGTAGGGGAAAAACAACACATTTCTTAAAAGACAGTGGAGGTCATGAATCACCTTTAGCAACTCTGCAGCTACTATTACCACTGAAGTTGTTCCATCTCCTACTTCTTTGTCTTGGAGTTCAGCCAATTCCACCAGCACCTGAAGACAGAGAGGATAAACATTAGATTCCGAAGAAATTAACTCTCCCTAGATCGTTTTCACTCCCGAGGCGTCTACCTTAGCAGCCGGGTGTTCCACCTCTAACATCTTGAGAATGGTTGCACCATCATTAGTAATTGTAACATCACCAATATCATCGACCAGCATCTGCAACGAGCAAGGGAAAACAACGCATTTAGCCCCACTATATCACTCTGCACAAAGACTTCACACATGACAATTGACATGTAACAACAACAAAGAAGCTTGTACAAAACGGCCATCAAATCTCATTTCCCGGAAAGTCATTAACTCTGGATTGAGCATCTTTAAGAGACGCAATATGGCAATAAGAAAAATAAACTTGCATTCATGACATGTAAACTCTTCCAGAAAGTTAACAAAATGGAGCGAAAAAAGTTGCAGCAAAAAGAGGTACCTTGTCAAGCCCGACGGGACCAAGGGACGATTTGACGATGTTGGCAACTGCTTGGCACGCCATGACTGCCGCCATTCCACAAACAAATAACACAAATCAACTTACTATCAGTAAAACGAAGCTTAGGTGTTTTTTTTTTTTTTGCAAAGATCAGCTCTTATAAGTGAAGCAGCGAGCAAGATTTACCGTTTTGAGCGCGGACATCCTGGCCGGACTGTCGTTCGCCATGAATATCAAGAGTTTGAGATGAGAGCGACATATTACTTCACTGTAAGGAGAGAAACCCTAGAAGAAGTTGGGTTTCGGCGCAGAGGAACTTCGGATCCGCCGCACTTTGCACTGAAGAATGCTAGATGGAAGCTCAACTAGCAGAGTCTGGTAGCAGATCAAGGCGAGATTTTGGTTTAGGACTAGAAACCCTTCCACTCTCTTCTGTGTTGGAGTATGGCAGCTCTTGCGTTCCTAAAAGTGAACACTCCAGGCGAGGCGAGAGATGTACGGGTGAATGCTCAATTGCTCATATCATATGGCAGGGCAGGCTACCAGGCTAGGTTGGTTTTTCATTTTTAGGCCCAAACAGAGAGGAGGATCCTGAGCCCATATAGACGTAGCATTCAGGGCCCGTGGAAAAGAAAATGGGCTACACAAATTTGGCCCTAGGTCTTTGGAAATTAAACAATTTCCCAAATCCCACCCAGGTTGTCAACCGGTTTAGCCCGTTGACCCGGTCAAGCAATTGGGTTGAGGGTTAATGGGTCGACTACTTTAGCTCGGTTAAACTCGGACATATCGTAAACCTCAATTTATTGTTAATACATATATAAATTATATGAAATTTCATCCAACATATGAGTAATAACATGTAACATTACACCAAAATAACATGGCATACTTGGATCCAACATATAGTGAAATTCACACATACTTATATAACATTAATGTTCAACTTAGTATTCCAAAGATTGTATTATGCGGGGGAAAATCGGAAAATAAGCGCATTTCGCAAAATAAAGGAAAAACGATGTCGTTTGACCTCCAATTCGATACCTTGCAGCGGGTCGACCCGGCAGATGTGTACGACCCATTTTTCTCACCGTATCAGGGTCAAAGCGGATCAACCGACGGGTCGATCCGCGGGTTGGCAACCTTGCACCCACCTATATATTATTTCTCTGAAAATCTATGTCGTAATATTATTAAAATATCCTCAACAAATATATATCAATAAAGACTAATAAGATCCATATTATTCTTCCCACCAAAAAAATAAGATCCATATTATTAGGTTCATATTGATATAAAGACTAATAACATTAATAAATTATCCATATTGTTCATTGTTAGAACGGATATGGAAATCGACAATACAAGAAAGTAAAGAACCCACAGATTTGCATGGTTCACTAATAGAATGTGTGTTAATTAGACCACGAGTATGATAAAACTAGTTTCACTATACTTGAGGAGATGCGTATTACAGAGGAATTGAGATGTATATATAGTACCTCTGCAGACGGGCTAACCCTAATCCATTATGGTAAATAATAAAGTTACATACCAGGCCCATAACATAATTCCAAATGTGTACAAGCCCATACACCATAGGTCAGGTCGTTGCCCCCCGAACACTCATTGGAGGAACCTTGCTCCTCTGAGCCCCCAAATCCGCATGACTTCCTGTCGATGACAGACAATCTTATTCAAGTAATATCAACATTCATATTAGATACAAAAATGACATTGTTTTGCTTTTAAGTGCGGGTCGGGTGGAAAGCGGGTCAGGTTTTGACAAAATCCAGACCCAGTTACCCCCTTCTAATTTCATAAGCGGGTAAAACCCACACCCAACCCAAAACTCGTCAACGCTGGCTTTTACCCACTTTCACCGGATTGAATACCCGTGGATTTGGGTTTATGGTCGACCTAGAACCCAACATTTCCTTCTCTGGAGATCCCTAGCTTGGTCACAAAATTGGTCACTCGATGAGCCACAGGAAAGTTCAGCAAGGTCATTGCTCTGATGCATCAAATGTGACCCCAATTGGCCTAACATTTTGAATATGTTGAGCATTACTGTAAAGCATGTGGTGTCTCATCTCTTGACTAATATGCTCGGTGGAGCTTGGTGACTATACTCAGAGCAGGGGACCTCAGGAAGGAAAGGAAGTGAGTGGGTCATTGCATGCCCTAGTTTCCCCCTTTTGTTTTGCATATATTCATGTTCATAATATGTGTGTTGATTAACGAACCAAACGGTGATTTTGTAAATGTGAATGGAGTTGTCTCTAACATTCAGCAGCCTGGACGCATATGCAATGTGAACGATGATGGAATACTACTTCCATGAGAAACCACTACTTCTGATACATGAGAAATCAGGTATTGGTTGGAAGTGATGGATGGTTGATATGAGGGCCAAGCGACTATGAAATCTTGACATATGAGTAGGGAATCGTTGCACATTTGAGGAAGAAGATAGCATTCAACATATTCCAATAATTGGACCATAAAGAGTGAATATTAACCAACATGTATGTCCGTATTATACTTAGGTATCCAATGACCAATTCCCAATGACCGACATTCATTCAATCTCGCCTGCTGATCACATACATTTGTACCCAAACTCAAGGATTTCAACAACTCGAATCACATCATATTCACTAAATTGACGGGAAAATATGTGGAAAGGAAAGCACATTGGAATTTATCTTCAAAGATTCGAAATCACCTTCTGTTGGCATAATCTAAGGAAAGTCTTGTTCTCCATGAGGATCATAATCATACACTCATTCAACCATTTTGTGGATTGTTCATGGCACATCTTGATATCACATAATGGATGAACTTTCAATTTTATCAAACAAAATTTAATTCTAGTAAGACTCTGTGGCTCACCCAAATTTTACCAGTCACTTAAAAGATAATGCATGCCCACCTATCCTATACATTCAAACACATAACTGGATGTTGTAATATAAGTGAATTCATTTGAGTTTAGCGATTGACCCGTTCATTGACCATCCCTAATACGAACATATTGATATGAGGATTTTCACCAAAAATTAACTATTATTACCAGCAGCCGAAACTTACCGGGCCTACAAAACAAACCAAAAAAAAAAAAAAAAATCCAGCAGCCGCCCGTTAGAAACTATAGCCCCTGTCCCCTGTTTTCCATTCAAGAAATTTCTCGTCATCAGCAAGGTTTTTCTTCCTCCTTTCTTGTTTCTCTTTTGCGTTTCAGTATTCCCTATCAAATGATTTCTACTTTGACTGTGTTGTACCAATTTCTGTTCCAAAATCACAAGCCAGATAGCCTGAAGCCTCCACCGCATTTCGTCACTGTCCATCTGCTTATCAGCCTGCAATGGTGGCTGCTACTACAGAAAAGATGAATGAACCATGCTAGTCATTTTGCCATTCTTTCCATGTGTATGTTATGTTAGGACTTTTAGGGACGAGGGTACACGTACGATAGCCCGTGACCGGGTGACTAGGATTATGATAGAGTCGTGAACTATGTTCACTTTCCGAAAAGAATATTTTCACCCTCAACAAGCCTAGGGTTACAGGAAATTTCTCCCGAGGATAAAACTATCACCACTTTAGGTTCCAGGCTCAAGAACACTAAAGCATACTTAGAAATTTTTGGAAGAAAGAAGAAGAATTTGTTTGATGGTATGTGGCATCATCCACCCCACACATATTTATAGGGGCCGAATCCATGCATTGTTTCATGAAAGGTTGCCTTTATCCATACGAAAGGTTGCCTTTGTCCATACGAAAGGTTGCCTTTATCCATATGAAAGGTTGCCTCTATCCATATGAAAGGTTATCCTTATCCATATGAAGGGTTGCCTCTATCCATAAGGTTATCCTTATCCATAAAATAATGCAACCGCCACCAGGCTAAAGGGATGTGTCCCTTCACGGAATTAGAATATCGGTTCGATCGGTCTAATCCCAAACCGGTTGGTCGGTCCAACCTAAAACCGATTTGACTTGGTTAGTCCGGTTCAACCAAATTTCCAACATGTTATATAAGCATTTGAAATCAAGCATTTACCAAAACCATTTCACTCGTCAGAATCCGCCACGATTTCACGCACATGCATGCACACAATTTAACCTCTATGAAATTTCACCACTAAGAGTTTTTTTTTTCTTTTGTTATGTTTGGGTGTGATAGAGAGAATGTTGACTGAGTTAAAGCGGATTGGTTTGGTTCTGGACTGACTCGATTGATTTCAAGCCTCGACTTTCATTTTTTTTCTCCTTCCATTTTAACTGCAAGAAGATTAGTTTGTCGTTAATAAAAATATTTGGCGGATAAATGCCAGCCGTAAATTGTGTGCATACTCGTCAATTTACTATATATCATGATTCATCTCAGACTTTTAGATGCTTTTCAACTTGATTCAATGCACTTTACTTCGTTATGAACCCCCTTTTTCCCCTTACCACGTTGATAAACTGCAACCACTATGGAGTATATAAATTCGCAATCCGCACCACAATGATATTGGTTATTTAGTTACCATGGTGTTTGTTACCATGGTTTGGTTCTGGATCGACTTGATTGATTTCAGGTCACGATCGACTATAATTTTTTTTCTCCTTCCCTTTTAATCGCAACAACATTAGTTTGTCGTTAACAAAATATCTAGCGGATAAATGCCAGCCATAAATTGTGTGCATACTAGTCAATTTACTGTGTCTCATGATTCATCTCAGACTTTTAGATTCTTTCAACTTGATCCAATGCACTTTACATAGTTAGCAACCATTTTTCTCCCTTACCACGTTGATAAACCGCAACCACTACGCCGTATATAAATTCTCAATCCGCACCACAATGATATTGGTCATTTAGTTACCATGGTGTTAGTTACCTCCGTGGTAGCTAGACGTACGACTTGTGCACTATAATAAAAAAAATTCTGTAACCATATATGTCAGAATCACGAACAAATTTTCTTTACCATCGTGGTAACATATTTTCAGGAGGCCGACTCAAACTCTTTTTCTTTCGCTTTTAAGCATATGAAAATTAGAAACTACTACTGATCAGAAAATCAAAGGTATGAAGAAAATTATAGTTCAATTTTTTCTCTGTGGAAAAATTGGAGACAGGTAACTGAAAATGAAAGCAAAATTAATTGTGGGTTGGTGAGAATAATCTTGACGTTGATGTGCTCTATTTTGGATCCTTTTGGTCTGTGGACCGGTTGGACCAGGTTTGAATATTGATTTCAATTCAACACAACTTGGGGCTTTCTTCACTCATCCATCCATCCACACAAAATAAAATAAAGGAGACAAAAAGGGTTTGGTCAATGGATCCTTCCAGCTTCCCCAGAAAAGCGTTCATAGTTAAACCTCGGCAGTCAATTTGGGCGCCTTAAATTATAAGTGAATTTGCTGATTAATCATCTTTTAATTAATTGAAAAGAGATAAAAAAAAAATTGATCTGATAGCTCTCGAAGTAGAACGAAACTCTTGTCTTTTTACTCGTCCGAAGCTTCTTTCCAAGAAAGGACATAATCAATAGCCACATTTTCTTACAAATTCGTTTATGACATAGATTAAATATGTATCTTAATGTGTTGGTAAAAATTTAATTTGTATCTGTATTGTTTCGCACAAATTCTTTTATACTAAGTTCATGAAAGAGGGAGAGAAAATTGGAGAGGGAAGGAAAATATGAAAGAAGTAAAATTTTGAGGGGAATGAAACAACGAGAGGAAAGTGGTGTTCAATTTTGAAGGAAAAAAAAAAAAGTTCATTTAAACTTGTGAACAAGGAAAAAGTTCTGAATCCCTCCATTTCCTCTAGTTTCCTCCCACCCTCTATTTTTTCTTCTTGGTGAACAGAGGATTGTGAAACAAACTACACTTGTACATACAACGTTGTTGTACAAATTCAACTTGTTTCTAGAATCACTGGTGATTACTGATTATGAGCATTGTAAAATTCTTTTATAATCAAATGTATAATAATAGAGGAATGTTACAATACTTTAAAGAATAATTGCTTTAATTTTTTTTTTTTGTCTTTATGGTACAACTGAACTTATGTACCTTGAACGTTATGGTACAAATTTAGTTTGTACTTATACATTTATGTACAAATTCCTTTACGGTACAACATACTCAATGTTAAAGCTAGAGTTTATAATAGAAGTAGATAGTAGGATCGATCTACCACCATGAGTTGGATGCTCGATGTAAAAACCGAACTAACTGCACCACATTTGACATAATTGGCACTTAAAACCCGAATGCAACACGCCTAATCACCGAAGCCGACTAACTTATCATTATCATATCAAAACCAACATCAATAATTTCAAATGAATTAGAAACTACGATAAAACATAATTTTATGCATAAAGCAAACAATATCAGTCTACTTCAACATAAACTTGCTCAAAATTGAGATGTGTAGATGAACTCGGCGTACACCATCAAGTGTCATAAAAGCTTACTTAGTGTGAATAAATCTCTCCTAGCTAAAACAAGAAAGTACTATTTATATGCTGAATTAGTAAGTTTAATTGTGAATTATTATACAAATAAATCTATAGAACTTTCAAACCCCAAAATTTGGTTCACTTGGTAGCCTACAAACTTCTTCTTGGTTTCTTTTCTCCCCATCAATCAAGCTTTCTGCAAAAGGGTTAATGGGTGGTTGGATTGCGCCAGGTCAGCAACCACCCTTCTTACTGCTTCCTGAAAGGCGGCTTCGTCCCATTCGTCATCTCCCTACCAAAACCACACAACCAAAGAAGGAAGATGCCAATAAAATTACAACCAGTTAACCAGAAAAGAAGAAGAAGCAAATTTGGTGTTAAATCAAGTAAATTATAATGTCAAATCAAATTTATTTTATGAATTATAAAATCAAATTTTCTAGTCTCCTTTTTCTCATATTTGTATATTGTCATTGAGAAAATTTTTATTGACTAGTTGTCTCCGTTATGGATAACCATCCAAACTTACATCCAACACAATATTATTTCTCTATTGGAAAAGAAAATATATACAAGACTCATTTTATAAATTTTATTGACCACTCGATTTATTGAAATCAATTAGCTTAATTTATATGATGGTATTGCGTAAAATTCAAACACCTTAATCAATTTTTTGTCTGGCATGATAGGAATAGAATGCAGTAAATGAATGATATCATATCGATTTTAAATATCTTGATTTTTATTTAGCAAGACGATGTAAATAAATGATATCAGTTCCATTCCCAAAAAAATTCGCAACAAGTCAAATTTTTTGTACAAATTTATTATCTATCACCTACATCCATCATCGATCATTTCAGAAAAATTAAGATTACAACTCATTTAATAATCTCATTAATTAATAAACAAAAGTAACGATCGGGTGGGTGGGATTTCTTCCTTAGTTACGAGGACAAAAGAAAGGTATTTGGTCAGCTGAGTGTGATGGTCTTATTTAGTTTATTATAACATGTGGTGGTCCATTTGTACTTAATTTTTCATTTTGAAAAATGAAATGAAAAAAATGTCGAAGGAGACAGAGTAGCGCGACCAAACCAAACCAAACCAAACCCACGAATTAATTTATTTGCTAAGATAATTAAATACATAAATTAATGCGTCAAATTGCTATATTTTTAGAGTGCTTGATATTACTTATAATAAGATAACTATATTCGAAGATCAATTTAATAAAAATTGATAATTGAAGATTCTGAATTTGAAAAAATACATCAACCAATAAAATCATTTGTAGTACTGTATAATATATAAGAGAAGTATGTCAGTCATTATTATAAATTAATATATCTGAAACCCAAACAAGAAAAAATAAATGGAGGACAAAACCCTAGTCTCAAATCAAATATCTCGCCTATTAATTAATTACGTACCTCAATCTGCAGCAGGAAAACAGCTCGGCTGATACTTGGCGTCGGCTCCGCCGTCGACGCGGCAGCAGATGGTTGGCCTAATGTGTCTGTGCTGGCATTTGCTTCCAAGGCCACCAAGTCAACGTTGTTGACTTGTCGGAGAAACTCCAGCACCCGAATCACCACATCCGAGACCAGCGACGACGACGACGACTGATCTCCTCCTCCGACACTGACCTGCAGCTCCACCACGCGGCCGTGCTGCTCCGACGACGTCGTCGTCGTTTCCTCCACTGTTCTCAGCCGTACGTCTACCACCCTCTGCTCGCACGGAATCGTTCCTTCTGGTCCTGAGTACTCCGGCGCGGCGGCGGCGGCGGCTGCTTTGATCCTGACGGGGACAGTACTGCTAGTAGCAGCTGGTGGCAGTGGTCGGGAATTCAGGAGGTGATCAAGTTTGGATTCGAGGTGGCGGTTTCTTTCTGCCAGGTCGGCCACTTGGGCGATCAAGGAGCTCATGTACTCCTTCGTCCGGCTCAGCACCGACGCCTTGTCTTTCTACATTATGCATGCACATCATATTGAATTCAGTTAATTCAATCAAACCAATTAATTAAGCTCAGACGATGTCACGTGGTTCTTCGTATTCAATGTGAATGATCGCTGAGGATATGGTTCTTGATTTAGCCACATATATAATTAAGATGGTGAATTTTATAAGTGTTTTCGAGATCGATCGAAACATATATGGACGTGCTAATACTAAAAACAAGAAATAAGGTGTAATGTCAGAAAATAACTGGGAGGTTTCATCATAACAAGAAAGCACGAGTGATTGTCGCTAATTAAGATCGTAAACAAGAAACAAGATGGACAGCCAAAAACATCAGAGTGTGCGATAGTACCGGAAAATAGCAGACTACAGTAAATAGGAATGAAATTTTGAAGGAGGGATTGGAGGACCAGTAACTTTCATTCTGATATGATTATAATGTTTTCTCAAAATATGAATACTCGCATGTTATAATCATAGATAAAAAAAACATAGCTAGCTTAGCTAGGTTAATTAGTAGGGGTAGGTTACCTTGGCATCGGGAGGGAGGAGGGAACGGAGGGAGTGGAAGCTGTCGTTGATCTTCTCGCGGCGGCGGCGCTCCGATATCATATGGTGGAGCTGCGTGGTGGTGGGACGGCTGCAGGGCAGCTGATGACTCATGTCCCTCGCCGACCTCGTCATCGTCGTGAAGCTCCTCCTGTAGTACGTAATCGCCCTCTTGAACATGCTTTGCCCCGCCACTCTCACTCCTCGCGTAGGAGGAGGAGGAGTTGCAGCAGCAGCGAACTTCTTGAAAGCAGTAGTAGTAGTAGTAGTCCGACGTGGCATCCGGCCGCCGCCGCGGCCCTGATGATTAGATGGAGCCGCAGCAGCAGTTGGGGGAGCAGAGGTGAAGATAGCCAGCAAGGCTCTGGTCATGGCGGCGTCCTCCATACTCGCCATTTGAGTACTCGGAAACAGCCCCGCGTACGGCTGACGTGGCGGTGGAGGAGGGTGGAAGGCGGGGGAAGAGGTGGCGGCGGTATTGGCGGTGAGGTTGAGGAGGAAAGATGAGTACTCAGGGCTGTTGTGATCAAGTGAGAGCGCGGATGATCTGACGGAGGAGGTGGACGAGGAGGACGGCCGCGGCGGCAGCCCCGTATTATTATTATTCGCTGCCGTCGTCGTCGTTAGAAGCCTGGAGAAGTCGTCGGGGAAAAGCTTCATCAGCTCCCCCTCGATGCTCATCTGAGGGTAGATATATACGTAGACACAAATGTTAATTAAGTTGAATAAAATCGGCGGCTTGTATCGTAACAAATACGTCATTAATAATATTATTCCTAGTTAATTATATAGTAGTAGTAGTGCTTACTTGTTGAGCCGTCGGATTAGACCAGCCGAGCTCGATCTCGCCACTTCTGCAACCCATAAACACTGCTGTCTGTTTTTGCGCCGTTAATTAATTGATAATTACTAATTAGATTCGTAGCTATTCATGAAAAAAATTAAAAAAATAAAAGAAGAAGAAGGGATCACGTAGCTAGGTTAGGCTAGAGATAGTGGATGAGGAACGGAACAAACCTTGATCTCGGCTTCCTGCATATATATATAATACAAAGTTCCAAAAGAACCAGAATGTGTTGTCAGATAAGACTGATTAATGATTAACAGCTAATTAATGGAGAGTGATCATTCTGGTCACGGCTTTAAATTAATTACCTGGTAGAAGAGGCGCTGTGAAAGATTGGACGCCATTCGCAGCAGCTCCGGTAATTCGCTCAGCTCTACGTACGGGTGGTTGATCAAGAAGGCGTGCCCCGGAACTCGACTGCGCCATCATCAAATTACTTAATCATAATCATCATCATCATACACACAATTAATTAGTGAATTATATATATATATCTGAGTGTCATTAATTTATCGATCTTACTCGATGATGGGAGTGAATGTTGACCGTGTGTAGTCCTGGAAATGCCGGTTGGCTGCTGCTGAAGACGGAGGAGGCGATCGAGGAGAAGAAGAAGATGAGGAGGAGGGTATTGGCTGGTGCTGGTGGTAGAAGCCTCCGGCGAAAACGAGCAGGCTGGATACAGAGTTATTATGAGGGTGGCGATGGGGGAGATGGGACCAAAGGCAAATGTAAGAGCTGCCCAGGTGATGCATCAACGCTTGCAGATAGGCGGGCAGCTCCATTTCCGGCGCCATCCCAAATACGCTCTCCATATTTCCTGCTTTATGCGATCGTCGGGATAGAGATCCAGTCTTTGCAGCGGCTATGCATCGACGACGGTGATCATCTCATCAGGTAGAAAAAGGTTTCGACCGGTTTGGTTAGTGGGTCGGTTGTTGAGTATTGGTATATGGAGATAGGCGGCGTCGGTGGTCTAGATTATTATAGTAGAGAAAAAGAATAATAAGAAAACGGTTTCAAGCCGGCGGGGGAGGAGAAGTAGGGAAGACGAAGGAAGGGAAAGAAGGGATCGAGAGGGAATGGAATGGAAGAAAATAAATAGTCCAGCGGCGGCCCACTTGTATTTGAAGAGGGGACTCCTCCGGTTTGGAATTTTCCAAACAACTGGTGGGAGGGAGGGAGGGAAGATTATATATCAAGAAGCTAAGAAAAGTATTCACTTTGCATTCATTTATTATAATACTAATTATTATTATATATTATAGCTGATATATAAATAAATAATTATATGAAGTGGTCTAGCGTAAGGTACAATATTATACACCAATTTTTATATAAAGGATGAATCATAACTCCTAATTCGTTTAACTCAAATAATAAAATTCGTTTAATTTAAAAATATAATAATCGAGATTTCAGATGGATCGAAATATATTGAAATTCACCTTTACAAATGTGAATAATGCAGACATATGGATGAATCCCCCTTCCACGCTCTTTCATTCATCTTCAACCCTTCCCTTCCTTACAGAAACCGCCGCTGAAGGCCAACACCTGAAAACCACCATCCAGCTCTGTCGACTGTCTCGCCATAAAACCACCATCGTCGTCTTCTCCTTCTCCCTTTCTTCCCGACTCCTCCCTCTCGATCCCTCCTAACACCTTCCTCGCCAGTTGAATAAGACAACTTCTCAAGCAAGAGATAGTCTTACCATCGAGATCGACAAAAACATTTGGACAAGCCATACGCAAAATCGAGGCCAAGGTCAAGGAGATAAGCAATTGCATAGTCAAAAGTACCCAATTCAAAGTTGGACATTCATGAAATGAAACCCTAATTAAAAGCCACAATTCACCCCCCCCCCCAATTTGCCAGGCTTCAAATCGTCTTTCAAAGCGACAAGGAGGGCATCAGAGCAGGATCAGCCTTGTGGAACTGAGCTCGTTAGACCAAGCACGAAGAGTGTGGCGAAGTCCATATATTTCTGGTATGCTTTCTACATTTATCTATCTACTTTAATTTGTGAGTTTTGTGGTGTACTTTGTCTTGTTTCTAGTATGCTTTGCTTCATAATACTTGTGGCCAGCTTTATTAGTTTTGGTATGCTTCATAAAAATTGTGGTTACTTTTAGTTTTCTAATCTGCTTCATAAAACTTATACTATTTGTGAGTTTTGTGATGTGATTTCGTATTTATAAATTTTCTAATGTGCTTATGAAACTTGTAGTCATTTTATGAGGTTTTTTTGTCTATTTTATGAATTTGGTGGTGTACGTGTTGAGCTTTGTACTATCTGTGGTGTGTTTTCTATATTTTCTAGTATGCATTATGAGGTTTTGGTCTATTTTATGAGTTTTGTGGTGTAGTTTGTCGTGATTTTGGTCTGGTATGATTTTTTTCTTATCTGCATCATAATACTTGAGGTAAGATTTATGAGTTTTATAGTATGCTTCAAGAAACATGTGGTCAACTTGTGGAAACAGAATCAGTCGACTTCAATCTTCAACACCGACGCTGTTGCTGCTCGTTGTTTCCTATGCAACATCCAATACCAATATCACCACAATTCCTTGAAGATTGAAATATGGAAGAAGAAGAAAATAATATTTCGTGCGACTTCAACAACTAGCGCACACCGCCGCTCCTTGTCGATCACTAGTGCAATCTCCACAATCATTGTCGCTCCGCTTCTTGTCAGCCTTCGCTCGGATCTCCAACACCAACTCGAGTTAGGGATGTAATATATGTAAAGATGAGTTGTGAACAAGAGGACGACAAACGTTAGGTTGATTAGTTAGTTTTCCAAAATGACAAGCGTGCGCCTCCCTCTAAAATCATCATGAAATTGTGATGACCAACCCCTTAAACATAGAAAATAAGCAAATTATCGGAAGCTTCGTATTGATTTGTTTTAGTGTACCATGCTAACAAATTAGGTGTTAGCACTTAGCAGGCTAACCCCAACCACTTATTTGATTTCTTGACTCTGACAGTTGACACTAGTCCCAATAACCTCTTTCCATGGTATCAGAGCTTTTAAACGAGTAATCTTTTATTCAATCCTCACAACCTATAATATTAACAGTTGATTTAGCCAAAAGATATGACAGACCAGTACAAACTTTAACCTTAAAACTTTCATTTGAAGCGCTGTGTAAAAACATAATATAAAACTTCACTCTTCAACATTTCTCTACCAACAACTCAAACTATTATTACAAACCATTTTTTTTTTGGCAAGATATTACAAACCAATTCGTATCACATATATATGACTTTTTTCTATAGGTGATAAATCAATCGCGCAATCACATCATGATGATTATTATTACTCTTAGGGCTCGTTTAGTATCATTTTGTTGCTGTTGTGGTTGCAGTGGTGTTGTGTAAACAGATGTACAACCACAACAGGAAAAAAATAGAAAACACAAACCTGTTTAGTTTATATAAAAATCATGAAAGCCGACAACAAGAAACAAAAACGCATTTAGTTACTACTATAAGAACTAAAAACCAGAAAAAGATATATGTCCGCAATATTAAGCAAAGTCCAACCGAAATTCACTGACCATCTACAATTTGTCAAACCGAAATTCATAGAACATTCAATACAAGAGCAAGTAAAATTAGAGCACACTTCTTAGTGACAGAGAATCCAATACACCGGAAGATTATACCTGAGCTGCAACTGTGTGTGCTGGGAGGACGTCGGCGGGCTGGGCGGCTGCGGCGGGCGGAGACAAGGCGGCGCTGGAAGGAGGCGAGACGGCGCGGCTGCGGCGGGCGGAGGCGAGGCGGCGCGGGCTGAGGCGAGGCGGCGCGGGCTGAGGCGGCCGGAGGCGGAGCGACGCTGGGCGGAGGCAAAGGGGTCGCGCCGCGCGGAGGCTGGGAGAAGAAGATGGGTGTCGGCTGTGTTTTGTCGAGAAGAAGAAGATGGAAAAGGGGCGGCTGTGTTCTGTCGAGAAGAAGAAGAAGATGAAAAAGGGGAAGTAGGGTTTTTTTTGGGGTGGTGGGGGGGCTGTGTTAAAAAAAAAGAAATTTTTTTGCTTCTGTGGGGATTCGAAAACTGGTCTATTTTAATGAAATCAAGCGCCCAACCAATAGGAATCCCGTGTGCAACATGTTTAAGAATCAGATCCAAAGCTATAAATTGTTGTTTCTCATATTTGGGCCTTGTTGTGCAACTCTGATTCACAACAAAAAATAAAAACCCAACTAAACACGTTTTTTTTTCTTGGTTTTCCAAATTTCTTAAAACACAACAAGAAACAAAAACAAGCAACAATACTAAACGGGCCCTTAGTATTACAATCAACTACTCATATGGAGTTATGTCATATTTAGATCATCCCGTGCGACATATAGCAACATATTTTCCTTATGCCACAAGTAAAAAATTAAGAAGACCAAGCTAAGTTAACAAAGTTGATACGTTCTTAGCATATGAACTCACGTAATTTAATCCTTGTTGAAGGTGTCAGTGAATCAATTTACACGTCGTGCATGGATCTAAAAATTAGTAATAATAACTTTCTAATCCCTTCATATGAAACTTCTGTTCAAAAAACTCAGTAGGGAAATTAGTAGAATGAACAGTTGAATGCAGGAAAGAATTGTCATTGCAATTTGCAAGGATGAAAAGTAGTCGTGAGTGGGGTTAGGGTTGATCGACGAGATATGAGTTAATTAGGAGAATGGTAGGAGAGAAGTGAGAATATTATTGTTTGCAAGCTGGGGGTGGGGTAGGGTATGGAACAGTCTTGTTTGTTTTGGTTTAAAGGATCATAATGTAATCAGAGAAAATTAGCGATTTGGAGAATGGAGAAGAGGAAATGGAAAGACGAAGAAATGAAATGAATAGAAGAGTTAGGGATTTTGACTAGGCTGTCAATCTCCCGGATCAAACCGGTCGCAACCCTGGTTCGACCTTATAACCCGTGTTCGTTGAGTGGACTGGGTTTTGAATGAGTGGGCTTAGCCCTGATGAGCCCAAGAATCAATTATCTGATTCAAGATTCATTCAGGCTTCAGCCCAACCCTGACTCAACGAAAGACAGACTGTGAAGTCGTCTTCTTCACCTAGCCAAGATGCAGTCGAGGCAGAGCACAAGAAAACAGAGTATGGAAGACAGAAGTAAAATGCAGAGCAGAAATTAAAGTGCACAGGGGATTTTTAACGAGGTTCGCCACTGGGCTACTCCTCGTCCCAGGATAGTACTTCACTATCCTGAGAGACACTTTGATTTTCTTTATTGACGCGAAAAAGAAAAATCGAAAGCTAGGTTACAGACTCTGTGAGAAAATCAAAATGTCACGACTCACAGACCAGAATTCACGCAGGAATTCCTTACACTCTTTGATCAAGCTGAACCTGTTCCTCAGCTTGATTCAAAGCCACTGATTCCCCAAAACCCAATCCCTTAGCCCTATACCACCGAGAGATTCCCTGTTCTGATCAGTACTCTGCCTTGCTTCTGGCGTTCCTTCTTATAAGCAGTGCAGAGGCCGTTGCAATTTGAAAACGATCAGAAGGAGTAGGTTTGAACAGCTGTTCCTTGAATCACGGCTTGATTGTTCTTAATTGATCCGCTCCCCCTTGATTGATGGTTCGGTGAAAATTGGTAATCTTCCAACTTGCTCTTTAATCTTCCAACAATCTCCCCCTAAGTTGGAGATTGCCAATTGTCCGCTTGAAACCTTGAACCCTGCAAAACTTAACCAATTCTTTCCAAGCAATATACTGCAGACTAAACAGTTCAAGTATTTAAAAGTAAACCGACCAAGCAGCTCAAGCTGAAAAGTTCGAGTCAA